AAAAAGATTGTAAATGTAAAATGTAACTTTTTCGGCCAAAGTTTTATCATTAGAGCTCTATCTGTTTACATTTGTTGCTATTGCTATAGGCCTAATAATGTATTGTGTCTAAAGCACAGACAGAAAGAAACAAAGACGTATAATGTGAATGTATCGTCTAACATTACTTATTTTCTATGGCTCTATTATTGAAAAACGTACTAAATCATATTCCAAACAATATTTCGATAAAGCGGTGCCTGTAAACAATGTTTTCTGCTTCTATATATTATACCTTGAACGACATTTTTAGATTTTCTCCGCCCCAGATGCCTTCATCATAATACAGCCTAATAACTTAACCCATGAAATATTTTGATACCCTAACGCAGGTTAGCACGGGTTAAAACAAATAATAATTTAACGCATGCGCACAGGTTAAATGGTCTGGAATGCATGCAAGCGTGTTATCTTCTGAACTTGTATGAGATCAGAAATGTCTCGAAATTAATCCTAACTCGTTAAAAACACAATTTCATTACAAAAAATTAAAAGTTGGGTTAAAACGAGTTCACCAGGAAAGGTTTAAAATTGTAACGCAACAGGTAAATGGCCTAACGCGTTAGAACCGCGTTAAATGTTTCATATTCGGTGATTCTAACGGGTAAGAATTTGTAGTGCCTGATAACGCCTCCATAATCGTAAATCGTTCAAACTCGTTAAAAATTGAACAAGTTAGCTTCTTGAATGCGTCTATACTCGTTAGAATAATACTTCGGATGTAATTTTAAGGCGTCATAGTGCGTGTATAGTGTGTTTATTCTTTTCAGTCAGATTTTTGTTCCGTTGAGATCCATCTAGCTATGGTCTATTAGAAACTATTCAACAGCACCATTATGGTAGACTGGTTTCTTACACATATATATGAGTGAATTGCCTTGGCATTCTACCGTTTCGAAAAATGGTTCTGGACTTAGAAGAATGGACTCGGATGTTTTTTGAATAATATTTGATAGGAAGTAGCTAGAGAGCTTTGACCTTCGCCATGCGGAAGAAAAAATCAAAAGTGATCTACGGATAATAACTCTTACGGAATATAGATAGTCTATCATAGCGAATTGATCAGAAATACTTGGAGCCTCTCCTCGGACATTCAGTGGGTGTCCACAAACGTTCTTAGCTGGGTATGTCCATTCGGGTCCGTTCACTTTATACAGACATAACAGCCGCGAAAATTTGAACATTTCTGTCGTATAGAGCGTAGAGAGTTACATGGAATCGCTCATTTGTTCATTAAAAAAGTCATATTCTACATGCCCGTTTAGGGATATCAAGTTTTGACCTCTCTGAGAACGAAGCAACTTTGACCTTGTTTTTCTTTACATCAATAGAGTTAACATCGACGTTTAATATACTGTACGAAGAAGCAGCTCGAGTAGTATAAGTGCTGATGCTCAAAACTGTTCTGCAATTTTTACAAGCACAGGCCAGCTGTCACAAAATGACCGAAAATGAAAAAAGGGCACTTAGTATTTCATCTCTCCTGAAGACAAAAGAAAACAAAAAGTTCTTACACTATAGATAAAAATGAAGCTAAAGAGCTGCTTAATCCAATGAAAAAAGGATAATGTCGATATCAATCTCCGTCTTTGAGTAAGAAGCCTATGTTTGAACGCCCATTTTTCAAACTGTCTAACTTTCAGGCCTCCCAGCACAAAAAGTGTAGTCGAATTTTTTTCTTTTTCTGTCATTTATAGTACTCGTCGAGCTCTACAAAATGGCATCAAAGATATTTTTGGTCCGCTGCGTTTTCACTCTCTTTTCTCGATCACAAAAGTCAAAAATATCGATTACTATTTTCAGTATTTTAGCAGGACTTTTACTCTGATTTTGGCTTTCAATTGAGCCAGAAGAAGTTCTAATGCTATATTTAACTTATCCTTAACTTAATTGACTCAAAATCGCTTAAATAATACTTAATATAGCGAACATTTTTCATAGCGGATTTTTTCGACGAATTCTATACTATTGGTCGAGTTCAATTAGCATAAGCATTTTGCGAAAAACGTTTCCTATAATTATTATTTAACACATTGACTGCCGCCCACTCCCACCCCCGCGAAAACAATGGCGGCGTGAGTTGAATTTAACTCACGCGGCAATCAATGGGTTAAGCGATTTTGAGTCAAGTTAAGGATAAGTTAAATATAGCATTAGAACTTCTTCCTTTGCTTTTTATATTTATATTAGATTACGAACCTCACACATGAAAACAGAAAAATATCCAGAAGATGTCTTAGTTAGGTCCCAGCGAGCGCCGACCGAAGGGAGGCTTGAGCATTGTGTTCGATTTAAAAGTCACTAAAGGGCGTTCGCTTGCGCAGATCCAAGTTAATAAATATTACTTCCAACCTCCTTGAGGTCTGCAGAGGGTGTGCAGAAAACCTTTTAACTTTATATCACATTAGATGGTTTTTTGGTGGAATCAAAGAAGTTTACTCCAACCATCTCAAGCTCTCGCTCGGTCCCTTGACTTCAGGAACTTATATCTGTGAACGATCTTTCATCGCTTTTTTTTGAAATATTTCTAATCGATTCGCTATGATAGATTAAAAAACTATACGCTACAGTAAGTTTTATAAGCCGTAGACGACTTTTTTTGTATTATCACAGTTGAGTGCTATCTGGCGACGTCTACCTCCCGTCTACAGAAAAGGTTTGCCTAACTTTTTTCTATCTGCATCAGTAGAGATATTTCTGATCATCTCTGTGTCTCATGGTTAAAATACATTTCTATACTTCGTGCTTATGATTGGCTTATCCATAGAATATCTGACAGCCATTTTTCCGTATTTTGCGTACAAATAGCCATTTTATGTGGTTGACCCTTTTTTTGCTAATAGAAGAAACTGAACTGAGTTTGGTCGTGCTAAGCTAAAATTACTTTTTCACGATCGAACATTTTGTAACTTTAGTTTCCACGTCACGATAGATCTGCTGAACCATAAATCATGGATTGCTGATTGGTCGAAAATCGTGGATAGTACTGTAAAATCATAAATGATTTTAGAAAGTGATTTTAGCTTCCCATGACCCCTGAGTCTCTGAGTCATCAGGTCTAAAATTTTTCTACCAACCAATCAGAAACGTTCGGTAAAGTAAAATCAGTTTCTCAGCAAAAAAAAGGGACAACCCATGTTACAATCACAAGAGAATAAAAAGCAGTGTTTTTAACATTACGCGTACGCCTTTGTTTCAAAGTGTAGGATACTGCGAACGAAATGGAAAATACGTTTTGCATCAACCAGTAGGGAAAGAGAGAACGACAAAATCCATGGATTACTACGTCTCTGTACGCTATGCTGAAAATTCTCATTAGAAAGCCTGATAAAAAGAAGACAACTAAAAGGGCGGTCATTTTTGGCAGGAGTTATTAGCAGGTAACTTCTCTCAGCAAGAATAGTCTTGCTTATTATTCAAGCAAGAATTGACTCATCTTTTTCTTTCTTCCTCTTAAGTACTATACGATCGTGCTGTGCATCTGACAGCGTCGCTTATAATATTCTATCTTTACTGTTTCTTCAAGTAAAATCAGTTATTTTTTTTCAGTTTTAACGCTTTCTATAACCACTATGAGATAGTCATTGTTACGGTGAACGCTTTATCTTGCGTAAAAAGTACACAGAACGAACGTCCTTTATGGAAAAAATTTCTGGTATTGCGAAAAAATTGTTCAGCTCTCTTTTCTTGATCCTAGAATAAATTCAGTGCTTTAATTTACTTTTGAGAAAAATAATTTTTGAAGCTGTTTATTATGTTATATTTTATAAGTACAATCTGTTTATTCGTAAAGAAGTCGCAACATATAAAGATGTCAGTTTTTCTTTGTTTTTGATGAATAATTTTGACGAAGAAGAATTTTTTGTTACGAATAAAAATGGGCATAAACTTTCCTGTACATTTCATCGTCAGCGTGATCCGTATAAAGATGAATGGAATCGTGAACATGTAGTCATCGTCTGCCATGGTTATTTATCGGAAAAAAATGCCAATTTTTTCCCAGAATTATCCTCTGATTTGAACCAGTATCACTCATTGAGATTTGATTTCCACGGTTGTGGAAAATCGGATGGACGGGAACAATGGGACTATGGCGGATACGAAGATGAAGTACATAGCGATTTAAGATTTCTGGTTGAATATCTAAGAGATGATAAGAAACATGCTTATTTTATCCGGGGACTAGTCGGTCATTCACGGGGTGGAACAAATATTTTGTTATATGCTTCATTTTACGACGATATACCTTTAATCGTGAACATAGCTGGACGTTATAGACTTGATCAGGGTATCCGAGAACGTTTCACAAAAAAACAATTTGATGAATTGGATAATAATGGTTATTTTATTATTAAAATTCGTCAGGGTACTGAGATTTACCGGATCACCAAAGAAGGAATTAATAAACGTTGTCAATTAGACATGTCGAAGATCGAACAAATAAAAAATAGTTCAATTTTGAATATATGGGGTGACAAAGATGATATTGTTCCCAAAGAAGATGTATATTTGCTTCGAGATCATACAAAAAACGCACGAAAAAGCGATATTATTATTATTGAGGGTGGTGACCATTGTTTTAAAGGAAAAGAAAGCCAATTAATTCGGGCTATACATCAGTGGATTGAACAGCGACTGGAATCATGAATAAACGTATTGTGTGATTAAGTTTCTCATAGTTTTTTTTATCCTATTCTGGTATTTTTGTTTCTAAACAGTTCTTTCTCTAGTCGGAAATGTCAGCTCATTGTAATTCGTCTTTTTAGTTGTCGGCTTAGTGAATAAGAAAAAATAGTCGAATTGTTATTGACATTAGCGTAGGAATTGTTCCTTTCTGTCTTCGATTTTAGATGCAATGAGCAAACAACGCGGGCTAGAAAGTTCACAAATGGATACAAATGTGTCGACATCATCAGCAATTGCACCAAATTCGTTTTATGTAAATGTACGTTATGTCGCTCTTTTTTCATAGCATTTAGATTTTCTAGTGGGTTCCAGTTATTGATAATTACACTGCTACGAATGGTCAGATTTGACTAAGATACTTTTTAAATTCCGTGACAGATTTTATCTCTTTCATTAAATGTGACAACGTAAAGATGCTCTCAGTAAAAGTCGGTTTTTCCTGCCTGGACATAACTCTTGTATTTGTTTAGAATGGTACTAATGCTGCTAGTGACGACAGAATGATAACAACAGTGAATCAAGCAAGCAATAATAATATATTACAACAACAAATGTCTCATGATAATAATCAAACACTTAGTCCACATTATCAAGTTGAAAATTCAACCGGTTATGATTTGGATACAATAATAACATTGTACGATGGTCTGATGCGTATTAATCGTTTAGTCTATATAGCTGATCATTGTCCATCATTAAGATATGATGCATTATGTGCTGCATTAAAATATATTCAAGATACACATTTTATTACAATGTACAGAACAGTTCATAATAATTTAAATGAAATGGTACAAGCATCCAAACGTCAACCAATACAGCATCCAACATTAACAATACCAGAATTAGATGCACAATGGTTAGAACGTACACAACGTAATTATTTACATAAATTAGAAAAATTAGATACAGATCTGAGAAATTTTCGAACAAATTCCATAAAAGATTCAATTCGACGTGGTCATGATGATTTGGGCGATCATTATTTGGATGGTGGTGATTATTTTAATGCTGTTCGTTGTTATGTACGTTCTCGAGATTATTGTGTAACACCTCGTCATATGGTAACAATGTGTATGAATGTTATTAAAGCGAGTTTCTATCTACAAAACTGGCCAAATGTATTAACGTATGTTAGCAAAGCTGAGCAAGCTATTGAAAACTCAGAACTTTCGAGTAGTAATAATACAAAATTAGCGCAATTTTCAGCAACAATCGCAATGGATACATCGACAACACCTTCCACATCATCGACGCAAGATCAAATATTAACATCGAAATTGAAAGTCTATGCTGGTATAGCCGAATTATCAACAAAACGTTATAAACTAGCAGCAAGACATTTTATTAGTGTTAATTTTGAACATTGTCAGAATAATTGTCACGATTTAATATCACCACAAACATTAATACAATATGTTTGTCTATGTTCGTTAGCCACATTTGAACGACATGAAATACAACGTTTAATTTTGAATAGCAATATCAAACAATATCTAGGTATGCCAGGAAGAGGGCGAGAGCTATGATTATAAACCCAAACACCGAAAATAAGACTTTAAAACAACAGTTGAATAAATTCCATATCTAGAGCTCTGATTGCTGCTAAACAAATTGGACACAGGGGAAAGTACCGTCGTTCTTAGACGTACTATGTCTACCTTGACATTAGAAGATGAGTATTGTAACTGGATGCATGGATTCACACTAGAAAAGAGATTCCTCATTTTAAATCGATAGATTATCAGTGTTTGTTCGCTTGAAATGACTGCTTATCTGTTTTCTTGTATTCACTTGGTACTAAAACTAAAAATTATTGTTTTAAGTATTTCTTTTCTAATCTCTTTCTTTATAGAACATAGTTATTCTACACATCTCATATATATATATAGAGAGAGTGCCTCACAGTTATACTCTTTCGTATTTTTTGATCTGAGATTTTCTTACGCTTTTTATTACATCATTTGATTCTTCTAAGTTTTTATATCGATATTGATTGATCTAATGTTGTATGATTTTATTTCTATGTTTAGAATTAGAACCAAATATTCGAGATATAATCCAAAAATTTTATGATACAAATTATAGTGATTGTTTAAAATTAATGACACAATATCAGAGTTTATTTTATTTGGATATTTATTTGGCTCAACATGTGAAACCTTTATACCATGATATTCGACATCGTATTATTGTCACCTATTTTCTTCCATATAAAAATGCCAGTATGTTAATAATGGCTAAACAATTGAATACAACAATTGATTCTCTTGAAGATGAATTAGTAAATTTAATTCGAAATGGAAAAATAAAAGCAAGAATTGATTCAAAAAATAAAATATTGTATGTTGCTGATACAGATCAACGTTGGTATGCTTATCAACATGCATTGAATATTGCAAAAGAATGTGAAAAAACAACAAAATCATTGTTATTACGTTCAGCTATATTAAAAGCAAATTTAGTTGTTAGAGATGAAACAACCTTTACAGGTGCTCATATTCATCATCAAATGTCAACAACTAATAACAACAATAATAATGATCATTCAGCCAGTCATGATTTTCATACTCTACAAGTGCTAAGAAAAAATGTTCGAAATTATGAAGATGATATGTCGGATGATGCTACAGTGTGAAAATAAAACAAGAAAATATATTCTAACATACTTACCAAAATAATTATGAATTGTTCACATACTGTAACGACACTTCACGGGAAAATTGCGGTTACCTTTGTTATTAGATAAGGAGAAGAGCAAGAGAATGTAATTTAGTATTAATTGGTATTTTCCATTATTTCATAAAGCTTGTTTTAGATCTATCTCAAAGACGAAATTTTTTTGTTTGCCAAAAGTTTCATATAATTTAATAATTATTTTTCGATTTTCAGCATTTAAATCTGAAAATTAACTTTGCCAGATTCTATTTCAATGCTACTCTATGTTCTTGAATGAGAAAGAATCTAACTTTGTATTTTATCTTTATATTTTTTGTCAATATTGTTATCTGTTGTATAATATAATGCTAAAATTGTTCTCATTTCATCTTGTCATTTTCTTTTTTGTTACTCTTGTAGGTTTCAAATGAACAATTTTTACTATTTGTATGTGTTCCCGGTGTTTAATCATGATTTGTCCCTTCTTTTCTTATTTCGCATTTTCTTTTTCAAGTTCAATTTACTTTGAATAGTTCATAATGTATGAAAAAAATCTGATATTGCAGATCGTAACAGAGATCACAGATAACTGTCGATCTGTCCTTCCTAGAAAATCAAATATTTGCCAACATGACATCATATATACATAGATATACAGCCACATATTAGAAATCAACAAAAAGAAAAGTAAAAATACAGAGAAAAAGCATGTGTAGAAAATCAATAAAAAAGTGAATATACTAATACATTAGAAAACTCTTTAAATATTTTTTGAATTAATAAAGAGAAGTTGTGTTTAATATTCACTCAGTTAACAATTGATTGCAGTTAGCTTGGGAGAAATTTTCAGAATATTAATAAATCTGAGAGAAGCTTAAAAATAAAATTATAGTCTTTTTGTCGACTTCTCAGAAATAATTGGTGAAATAAATGTTAAGATTTTCTGTAATCTTGGAGAATCCAATCTAGAAAACAAATGCTAGAGCATTGGTTGAATATAATCAATGATATCGTAAGATTGTAGAACAAACCAGGAACTGAATGTCTTTAACAAAACATTTTTTAGATATACGAACTAAAATTTGTGATGTCGACAAAGCGTAAAAGCGATGAATCCGACTTTATACCAAGAACACATGGAAAAAGTAAGGATAAAATAAAAAGCCCTATTTTATCAAGTTTACTTTATGTTTATTAACTCGAATTGTATTTTAGAATGTCGACTAATATCATCCGATATATTGGATAATAATCATTTGCCTGTAAATTTCGGTGAAAAAGACATAAATAAAAATCATGTTCGAAATTATTCTCCTAATGAAACAAAACAACACACTTTAAAAACACCATCATCCAAATTATGGTCTCCAATCACCGGTGATAATGTATCGTCCTCTTTATCCTTCCCATTAAATAGGATAGAAACGAACAAAATATTATATTCGCCTGATGGACAAAATGAAGATCTATCATATAATTCAAATATCCTTCACAACACCATACGCAGAGTACTCAACGGCAGCCAAAATAATGATGGTGAGTTCTGCTTTTTTCATTACTGGTGGTTAGATTGTAGACTGTATCAATCATCTTTTAATCTTACACTCTATATACTCCATTTTTAGAAGAATATGGGTTATAGCGATAAAAAAGGTCTGGGTATACATGAACAAGGTTCCACTAGTATTATTGAAACAAGCAAACAGAAAGGACGTCGAGGTTTGGGATTTTCATTAACGGATTTTGCTGATGAAACAGTTAAATGGGATTTTAATGAAGATCCGGTATGTTTGCATTACTTTATACTTTTTTTTTCATTCAAAAACACACTTTAACTCATTCTATTATAGGCTCTAGTTGAAGAACAAGTGCAGTGGTGTCCCTTCGTCGAAGAGACACCTCTTCAACTAGACGATCTAAGACAATGGCTTAAACTTGATCAGGTATATCAATTTTGAAATATGTCTGATTAAGTTTAGTTTTTCAAACAAAGAGTTGTACTTATTGTTATAGAAAAAACGAACAATTGACGATGAAACACAATTTTGTGACGAAAATATACTCAGGGATCTTCTTAGCAGCAAGGTACGTTCTAACCGTGTTATACTCTTTCAACAAGCTGACATTTATTTCTATTTTAGACTGTCTTTGATTCGTTATCTCAGCAAGAAATGGAACAAGCTCGTGAAAGAAGCAATGCATATGAGACTATTCGAGGAGCAATGTTTATGAACAGGTAAGTGTTGTTTTTTTTATCACACGTAGTTGAACGTGAACAACTGTTTTTCTCTTAAGAGCTGCGATCAAATTAGCGAATATAGATTCTGTATTCGGTTGGATTTTCAGTGATCCACAGATACCAAATACCCAAGTAGGTCTCACATCAATTTCGAGATTGTTTTTACATTACAATGATCTCATCTATTTTAGAAATCACTCGTTCAACCGAGTGAACCATTCTATTTTGTTGATATGTGCGCTGGTCCTGGCGGTTTTAGTGAATATCTTTTGTGGCGACGAAATTGGCGATCAAAAGGTTTTGGTTTTACATTAAGAGGAAAATCAGATTTTCGTTTACACGATTTTTTGATTGGAACGCCGGAAACGTTCGATCCATACTATGGTAAGTTTGTAATATCTTTTCTTTACACAACTAGAAATCTTAACATGTTTCAAATAATTTGTTTAAGGTGTGAAAGATATAGAAGGGGATGGTGATATTACAAATCCAGAGAATCTTGATGCTTTACAATCATACGTTCATAAATGCACAATGGACGCCGGCGTACATGTTGCAACAGCTGATGGGGTAAGAAGTTATTTACAGTTTAATCAGCAAAAATTGAGATACTTAATGGCGAACTTCTTACGATGTTTAGGGCTTTTCAGTCGAAGGGCAAGAAAATATTCAAGAAATTCTTAGTAAACAATTATATTTATGTCAATTTTTGACCGCTCTTTCAGTTCTTCGTCCAGGTATGACAGTGTTCTAAAAGATTACTCAGATTCAATCCTATAATTTCATTTCTTGTTGTCATTCAGGAGGAAATTTTGTTTGTAAATTATTCGATTTATTTACACCATTCAGTGTTGGCCTTGTCTACTTGATGTATCGTACATTTAATCAAATAGCGATTCACAAACCCGTATCAAGCCGACCAGCTAATTCCGAACGGTAATTAGGATGAATACACTTAGACTCGTTTTTTGAGACGTACATATCATTCAGAATCTGAGTAATTTTCAATTTCTAAAATTATTCTAGATTTTGTTAAAATCTCTTTTACTTAAAAATGCATTTTGTATCAGTTTCATACTCTTTATTCGTGTCTTTATTTACTGCTACAGTGTTTTTTTAAAGTAGGTGCATAGTTTTAACCCGTACTTTATGTGGATTCTGGAGCAAACTGTAATACAACTCTGTATTAGAAAGTTACATGCACTTTTCTAAAACGCACCCGTCACCCACCAATAAATACACAACGTGTATGCGTGAAAAATAGGTCTTTTAAGAGTAATTTTTGCATGCAGTAACAGTTATCTGGTTACACTTTCTTATTTCTAGTTATATTATATGTAAAGGCTTACGCGAGGATGTCTGTCATATTGTTCGAACATATATGTATGAAATTAATGTGATACAATGTAAACATCGAAGTGACACAGAACAAAACGATGTACAGACAATTGTACCTTTGCATATTATCAAATCTAATAAATCGTTTTATGATTATATAGTTGCATCAAATAATAGGTATGTTAACGTTTCTTTTAATAAACTTACAATAGATTAAAAACCGTTTTATGACCAACGCTACTTTTTTGCGCCATTTCAGTTTTCCTCTTATTAGCTTTCAATGCACACCAGAAGATACAGTAAAAGCCATTCGAAAATATTAGTTGTAAATATCTTTTTAACATTCTTTCTAACAGTATATTTAAAACTAAGTTTTTTTTCTTTTCAGAGTTATAGTTGAACTTCTAAGTTTTATTTGAAACTTGAGATTAAAATGGGGTTAAACTTTTTTTCTGTGCAGCTGAATATTCGTCCTTTTGAATGAGCTTATTATTGAATTTTTATCTTTTCAATAGAAATCATGTTCTCAATCATGACATCTACTGTATCTTCTGCTGTTTAGTCGATATAGAAGAAAATTTCAACATTCTTTTATTTTACTTGCAGACTTGGAGAACATCAAATTAGAAATTTAAGAAAAATTCGTACTTTCGTCAGCAATTCGTATGTATTTTGTGTTCTCTTAATCATTCAGAAAATCTTGGAAAACTTCTTATTTTAGAAAACTTATTGATCCTCGCCAATCTGATATACGACAACAATGTCTCAGTTTATGGAAGGTATATCTCTTGTAGGAGACATTTCTTTTTTATATGAAATGCAATGCTTTTGCGATATTTTAGATTCCAGATAATCAGAGACCAAGACGTCGAGCATTTTTTTGTAATGCTGTAGAAAACAATTTATTTAGTCGAGTAAGAATTACGTCACCAGATATCGATAGATGATACTCACTATCCTCTTGTTCTAGCTTGATCAGGGAATTGATAATTATATTCTGAATACGCCTAATTTACTGAAAAAATGTGTTTTAAATCAAAATCAAATTGTCTCATTGTTCGATTATCGATGCGTATTGTCACTAGGTGATCCTGTGTTACTATTGAGTTGTGGAGTAAGTTTAATAAAAAAATTAGATAAAAGAGTCATATTGAAATATTTTTACTTTTATGTTTCTAGCGTAGTCAAGTATTTTCGATCGATCTACGAAATAAAAATAAACATTGGACATTATTAGAAAAAACTTCATTCAAAATTGAATTACCACCAAATACACTATTGTTAGGAGAAAAGGTTCAAGAACATTATGGAGAAGTAATAAAATAGAAAATACATATATACGGTCTGGCCACGTAACGGTCTACCTTGTTACAGCGCCTTATAAATCGAGAGTTCGTTCGATTACTCTGGAACTTTTTTCTAGTGTGACTTACAATACTACCTCCTAACAGTGAAAAGTACAAAGCGATCGGACGAGATCTTGATCTGAGGCGCCGTAACAGACGAAAATCTTCGCTTGCCCAGGCCGTATAGTTAAGCTTATAATATTTTATTTCGATCTATAGTTTTATTTTTTTTTATCCGACTAGGGTCGTACACTTCGGAAAAAATCAGCAATATACATAGTAGATGCTTATTTTATTGGTGATGAAAATATCCTTATGAATAATGAGCGCCCTGTTGTGTTCATGGAACGGTATATATTCTCAATAACTCTTATTTTATACATAATCATCATTTGTCTTCATTTTTTTCTCCATTCATAGATTTCGCCTTATGAAACTATTCGAAAGAGCCATTAATAAGCCGGCTCGTTTGGATCTCGTACCCATACGGATTAGTGAACAGTTAAGATGTGAACATTTAGACTCAAGCATCGAAAAGTAAAGTAACTAGATCATTTAGTCAAAAAAATGAATCAAATCATTTATTCTTGTGCAGGTTATGTCAATCTGGTCAGTATGATCAAATTGATAATGAAAAACTTTGGTATGTTAATGAACATGTCGAAAATAAACCACGAGTACAAGTCCGTGGAATATGGTTTTTCAAATTTGTTCAACGTAAGTAAATATTATTTGTCCTGAAATATATTATTTTTGCTGAATCGTTGCTATTCTTTACATTTAGATCCATGGACGATATTATTGAGTCGTTCAAGACATCACAAATATTTTTATAATCAAAACACACGTATAGCAGAGAATGAGGCACCATCGGATTCTTCACATGTGGCTTGTTTGAGGTAAATGCATTGAATACACAGTCTGTTGTTATCAACATCAATCTTCTTTTCTTTGTTTAGATCGATGCTTGAAAATAGTTTTTATTGGGATTTTTCTAATCGTGATGACATTGTAACAAAATCCCATATGATTTCGTTTATTCGAAATAAAAATCGTGATCAGCAACAATCATCCTCAAAACATTAACACACTAATCATAATAATAACAGTTAAATATAATTCATTTTTGCGTTATTTAAGTAAAAAAAAAACAGAAAGTATTTTAACTCTACCTTTATCTTTCATCCGTCAAATATACTGTGCTTTTTATTTTCATTTTTTTCTTTTGTTTTGCTTGATAATTGAAAATGTGCGTGATAAAACACAATTAGAAAAACAATCATTTCTTTCTTATCAGTTTGTTTTCTTTTTCGTGTACACTACTGTATGTACGTATCTGTATAGAGATGACATGATACACATGTCTTTTTACTTTTTGGGATAACATATTTTGTTTATTTTTGTTTGTTTTGCTTGTTTTTACTTTTGAAAAACGGCGAATGTTGTTGTTATCTGTGTGATATTAAAATGATATATTAGTTCCTAGAAATGTATGTGTTATTTCTTTTTTTCATTTTTATTCATTCGTTTCTTATGTATTACTAGGAAAGAAAGAAAATATTTTGTTTTGCAACTATTTGAATTAAAAATAGACTGGATAGAACAGGTCATTAAATTGTTTAATATATAAATCGTTGAATCGTGAAATAATCAATGAAATATACGGTACTTCAAACCGAAATAAACTGAAAATTTTATCATAAAGACTTTTTCTTGCATATTCCAACGTGCATCCCAGTCAGAGTTGCAGAATATACCCAGTTTTTTTTATGCGCCTTGGAGAAATTTTACAGAAAACCTTTAATAAAATAGAATTCTTTCTGAAAAATAATTGCAGAAGAAAATAATGTGACAATCACTATTATACCGTTGTTCATTCAAATTTTAGTAGAAACTGGCTCCGCTTAGAGTCACAGAATATACGGTTAGTTTACGAAAAAACAGAAATTTATACATCAGAGCTATCATGCCGGGCGTCTGTGATACAATTTTGAATACGATCAGATGAAGTTCTGATGATGTCGTAATGTACACGGATGAAAACCAAACCCAAGAAAACCCACCCATAGAAGAACATGTTGGAAAAACTTGGATGAAAATATATCGATCTTCTTTTCCAATTATCTATCTTTGTTATGAATTTGAACGCATTTACTTCACATTTTCCAATAAGGTGAAGAGAGAACGGCATCCTGAAATTTTCAGTTAATATTTATTTACTTTCAGAAATATTTATTTAAGAACAACTACATCCAAGAATTCCATTGATTATTCCTTTCTGTGCATACAAGAGAAAGTATCCTGTATTGAAATTAACGTCTCTGGATTCTTTACTGCTTCTCTCGTTTTTATGTACTATTCTAAACATTCATACGCCGGCGTCTTTACTTTCGTAGTCTCTACTCTATGACAAAAATGAACATATCGTGTTTTTGTATTGTGTTTAAAATACACAAACAAAACATATTCTTATCGTAGAAGAGTTTTCACTCATATTTTATTTTTCTATAAGATCAATCTGAAATAGACACTTGAATAGAAAAAATTTACATTCAATATTTCTCATTGTGTGCATAGAAAATACAATTTTGAGAGAGAGAGAGAGAAGGTTAAATCATTAATTAAGTCTAACCGCTGTTTGTTTCTGTATTTCAGATAAGTCTTTGACGATGCTGCGTTACTAATAATCAGATTTAAATTTGATAAAAAAGAGAATGTAATTTTGAAACACATGTATTTGTAATCTGTCACTTTATGCTCATTCTCTGTTTAAAACAGTTACACAATATATAAAAAATATATTACTTATCATTCTTTAAAACTTTTAAAAAAAAAGTCGAAAAAACAAATAAAAATTTTTGTTTATCAATAAAAAAACCACAATTGCAACAACAGAAATAATACACATACACTTCACTGTCGGACGAACTTTTGAGAAAAAAAAAGAGTGCCCATAGTTAATTATCCTTATACTATTGAAAATAGTCATCAATGGAAGAGAAATAAAAACTAGAAATAATTTATTTATCTTTGTGCATTTATTTTCAATGATCTGACAACGAGACTACGTTTAAAACGTCTTCGAAAACGTTGATGTTGATGATGCTCATCATTGGTTAGCGTGATAATATTATCTAACATAAATGTAAATAATATGAAACATAAAAAACAAGTCAACATTAAAAGAAAACCTAGGGAAATAAACGATCGATTTTTTTCATTCTCTCTATAAGGTTGTTGTTGAATAATTTTCTTAATATTTCGATTATTAGTACAATTTAGTCGATTAATATAATTTAGTGCAGATTGAAAATGTTTTTTTAAACTAAGAGTGAATTGAAAATGTTTACATGCATGTGAATACTGTTTTAATTTCTCATATGCTTGACCCAGTACATAATGTTCTAACCATGTTGCCGTATGATCTAATCGATTGTCTATAGATTGTTGAATTAAATAAATAGTATCATTTGTATGATTTAAATTATACATAATACGAGCTAAATTAATTAGAATGAGTGATGCGTAGGGATCTATTGCCAATCCACAACGAAAACATTCGATTGATTGATATACGTTGCCTAAGATACGGAAATAATTACCAATTAAACTGTATACTTCTATCGGCACAGGATACTAAACAAAGAAATAAACTTTATGTTAATGATATCAAAAGATTTCTTCTTTGCAAATTCAATCATTACTTTATTTTTTAAAAATAACAATTTTTTCGCTACAGATTTTAATTGAGCTTGTGACTTGATATGAAATACGACAGCAACATTTGGTTCAAGATAAATCGGATAGATAAAACGTTGTTGTATTCCAGTTAAATGATCATAGACGGTTGAATTTGTGTATGGTAAACAGTTTAAATCAGATGAAAATGATAATAGAAAAGATGATAAAGAATAATTGGTTGTCGTCAACATCGATTTAGAAAGTAAGCTATTCAATGTTCCGTTTGAAGATGAAGTTGTTTCATTTGATAATGGTACTATCTGCGTGTAAGCCATTGATTGACTGTGGTATTGCAAATATTTTTGCGTGGATAAATATGAAAAATCAGAGTTTGCTAACCTAAAATAAAATGAGTAAGTTCTACTTATCGCTGGTTTATGTACGTGGAGAACGAATGACTTAAAAATCGAAATGCAATTTTGCGCAAAAGAAAAAAGGTCAATGTTAATCTATAAAGCCAACTTGCTCACTCGATATGGTTAGTTAGATCATTCTCGCCGATCTCACAGTCATACACTGTCCAGTTACTTTTTTTCTTTTGTCGCATAATGTTCATAAGTATGCTGTCAGGATCTAAATAGAAATAGTTCACCATATATATTATATATATACTATTAGTAAGATATAATGGAAACGAACGAACCTATCGATGAACATTTGTTTGTTTTTAATTGCTTTTTCTCCATTACAAGCTCATTATTTAAATTCAACGTGTATTTCGAAACGGATGTACCACCGTTGTTAATCTTGCAAGAAGGCAAACTTTTTGTTGAACTAGTTGGATTGAACGCAAAAAAGACATTGTAAATTGTGTACAAATGATTTAGAGGTGAATAAAATCCCATGAAGACGGTCTAAAAGTAGATTAAGTGCAGAGTTTTCACTTTTATTACGTTAAAATGATTTCAATGTCATTATAGTCACATTACACACGTAACCATGATTAAAAATTAATGATGATCAACGATTTTGTAGTGTGATCGCATATTTTTTTAATCGTGTTTAAGAATGTAGTAGTAGAGAGAAAAAATATATTTTAAACTACGATATATCGCTTTCCTCTTTCCCGCTGTTGAATTGATTAAACAAAAACTGAAAGTACTCTGGTAATGTCGGAAAAACAAAGGATTTTTTCAAAAAGATGTTCAAAATTTGACCATGATGCTTTCGAGGCAAATTTTCATGCAAATAAACAAGTGTTTAAATATTAGTTGACAATAGTCGGTGTTAATATGGGAAAACAAGACACTAAACTGTATCGCATACTATCACCGCCATTTTAATCTTATAATTTAATGACTAAACACATATTTAATACTTATTAGAGCGATTACATCTTGTGATTACGCTAATCAGCTTTATACAATGCAGAAGTATTATATCCATTGGCATCATTCTGTAATCTCAGTTATCAAATCGGGTTTGCTTTGAAAAATGGTTCGCCATGAGCAAAAATCTACTGTTTAACAGTAATTGAGGAAGACAAGAAAAAGCAGGGATGATATGACAAGCTGTTTCGCTATTTCAGAAGATGCTACGAGAGGATAAGACGAGTTACAACTGATCAATTTAGTTTTTCAGAAAGGAAATTGACTGATTAATCAAAATATAATAAAAAGTTCCACTTTTTTCAGTTAATTTTCCAACAGCTTTCCCATTTGTCTGCTTTTCGGATTAAGATACTAGAACTGAGATAGTGGAAATTTCTATCGTCCATTATAGACTTGTGCCTCTGTGATGAATAAATGTGATCATGAAAATAAAAGGTGCTTAATGCACTTCTAGTTACGAGCGTCCGTTATATATATAATGCACATCAGCCATATTCACAGACGCTTGATTCGTGTAGCTAAGTCCCAAAATGTGGCCGAGCACGCGAAAAGGAGCAGTTACCACTTTCACGACAAAATTGATGTTCTTACGAAATACTTTATCAAACCAACTGCGAGCTGTTGGGATGACGTTGTACGCATCATGATACTTTTTTAGGGCCTTTTCCAGAGCTTGTCGTCCATCTTCGTAAGTTGAATGCGATCCATAGCAATGTGTGCAGTGATCAGTGCTGGAGACATTGATGATGATACTTGCGCGAGTATTGCCCGAAATGTGTTCTGATCTTTGATTTGTTGCAAAACAAAAGAGGGCGGACGCGTGAGTAGAAAATCACGTTTGCTAACAAGTACGAGAAGATTACCCATATAATTCACTGAGATCGATCCGGCGATGTGGTATGAATTAACACGACAAGTTCAGTAAATAGATTTCCCACATTGATGAAAAAAGCAAGTGTTGGTTTCGTCACCGCTGATCCTTCAGTGGTAGCACGATTGACATTGTTCAACGTGTAAGGTAAGAATTAGTGACGAGCACCTCATCAGGCGCCGTTTTGATGAGGAGAAAAGCCGTTTGGATATGTTAAAATGAAGATTTGAGATGTTAAAGGTCGTAAGTGAGTTGATCTGACTTGCGATACTCTTCGCAATCATTCAAAAATGAAGACATAATCGAGTAGGGGGAAACTATCAGAACAATTATAGTGTTAAAGGATGATCGAAGATCTGTACCCTTTTACGTCCATCACTATCACCGTCAAGTTTTCTTATTGATGGAATACATACAATTTTTCTTTGTCATAAAAAAATCAATGTTAGCATTCGTATCTGATTCATTGAAACGCGACAAAATTAGTGAAATAAATAAGAAAATAAAACAATTGCATTACATTCATGATATTCTTCGACGTCCAAGAACATTTGCAAGAGTAAGTCGATGGAAAGGGCTGGAAATTAGAGTTTTTATCATGTGTCTTACCATCTCGACTTTGTACGATTTTCTGCCAAAATACTCAAACTTTCTAATTGTATTTTACGTATTATTTGTTCGGGATTATTAGAATGATGAGGCGACGTATGTCCATTCAGAATTGAATTGATCGATGAATACGAAGCCTGTCTGATTTCAAAAAGTCATGGAATATATTATTTCCACCGTACTTACAAACGATAACACTTCACACTCAACATCTCAAATCAGCACAGTGTTTAGAAGCTGGTTCATTAGAAAACTGCGAAGACTTCATTTTTGAAAGTTTTCTCGAGGAGTTGAAATCAAATCTGAGGGGTTCAAATAGTGCTGTAGAACAAATAGCCTTTGGATATACGGCAGAAAACACCGAGGTTTTGAAAGGCGCTGTAGAACTCGATTTAAAAGGAGTTTGCGCTTCAAATATTGTAATTAATTTCGATTGAAGACGAATACTTCGCAAAATCATTGACAACCTTGACTTTCGTGGTAACTAAATAACATTTTTTATCCAATATCATCAGAATGTGGCTAGACCTGTGCACCGGTCGGAAAATCGATGACGGCGTGTAACAAAAGTTTTCCGACCAGCGGCGGCGGTAGAGCCTCGTTAAAAGATTTTCGACCTTCGGCAGCGGAGACTACACGATTATTTAAACCTTTGGATCATCAGTGTAGGGGGGCACAACCAAATTTGAATACGAAACTTAGTTTAAGCCAAGATCCATTGTCAATTTCAACAAATTTTTTATTTTATTTTCAATCAAAATAATGACGCTAAAACAAGTTTGTATGGGGTGGACCTCCAAAAAACTTCGGTGGTGGCGCCGAAAATCAAAAAAATTATCCATCAGGGGCGAGGAACTCCAGAAAAGTTCGGCAGTGACGGGACCCAAAATCTTGAAACAGCGAAATCTTGAATCTTGGAACAGTGAATCTTGAAACAGCGAAATATAAGCAAGGGAAAAATGTCTGATTTCTATATACATTAACTTAAACGTTGAACAAAGTCTTGTAGGATACTTCTGCATAACTCCGCCCGTATATACACAACTTTTTTTTAGCTGCAAAAGCCCACTATGCCTCTCCTGTAGAGCTCCTCCAGTTGTGTATATATCCGTCGTTTTTTCTCTTAGATGTTATGTGAAACATGTTGAAAAAATGGTCGGAAAAGTCTATGGTTTGGTTTAAGCTTTAATCTTGAACCAGAACGAAATCGAGAATATAAATTCCCATTATATCATTCTGAAACTTAAACTAAGTCAACTTAAAAAGTCTATTTTTTGCCTTCAAGAGGAAAAATTAGCTGCAGAGCTATTTTTTTCGTGCAACAATATGAGGATGATATAGTAAAACATTGTTTAATCGGATTGTTATGAAATTTCAATCTAACTAAAATCTAATAACAATGTTAAGTTAATTTTAGACGATATCCAAGACGCCATGTTATACTAATCTCTGCAAAAAAATATTTTATCGGCACTGGTTGCTCACGAATGCGCACCGGTATCGAATAATTTTTTTTCTGGCACCGGTGCCAGAAAAAATGCAAAAATCTTGCTCCAATGGCGAAGTTTTGTTTTCAATCATCATTTTGTTTTGTCAATTTCTGTCTATATTACAGCACCGTATACTTCTAATATTTCGAATGTCTTTCTGACTTCATCTTTTTCTTCTTATAAGAGAAGTGCTGAGCCAATGCCGCATGGTTTTGGCATTTCAATGTGGTATTGATCAGTGTCGCACTCTAATACAAAATTCAGTATAAACAACCATAATAAAAAACTAATTAAACTAGTTAAATAAATTTCAGTACGGCACTTATTGGGTACCGTTGCCAATCAGTGTCAGTGACGGATGGCATGCCATGCGCACTGGTGCACACTGATTTTAACCAGTACCGCACTGGACTTTTTTTATGGGGATGTGTGTAACGTTTGTTAGGAAAAATCGAAGCGATGTTTTTGCAATCAAATTTGATATTCTTTGAATTCCGAATTTTGTATTATAAGATTGAAAAACAGTTTTACTGTTACTTATAGATAATCGTAATAATTTTTTATGTTTTTGAACAAAAACGAGAGTCTTATACACTCTAGGTATATATCGTAATAGATCGATTTAAGATTAAAGGCCCAGTTGTATTATTACGGTGTCTACAATGACAATTCAGTTATCGATGGTAGTACACCATTTAGTATCTTAAATAAAGTTTAAACCAATGAGCGCGTAAGACAACATCTGATGGTTTTTGATAATCATTTTAATTAAATTATTTTTCTTTTAATTATTGAAATATGTTTCTCTTGTTTATTTTTATTACGCTAAAATTATTTCTACTGAAACAGAACCGTTTATTAACTGAAAAATAAAAATTGCATTAAAACTTTAATTACATTAATATAAGAGTCTTTTTTGTAACATTTAGCCATTACTTTTTTGGTTGAGCATGAATACTTTGAATAAATTCTAA